CATTAATAATGGAGTGCATATATAGGGACTTGTAAAGGATGCAAACTCATGCCAAATTGTCACTCTGGGGCAGCAGAAGATCAGGAATAATGAAAGTGAACAGGACAAAGAATATGAATTGGCAGGAGGGGACTGGTTTGCTTTAGTTTCAGACAGACTAAGGGAAGGATTTTGATTTCATACAGTAAGGTAGTCCTGGATGTCATGGGTTAGCACGCAAAATGATGAAGTCTAGACAATAAGCATCAAGAGCAAGAAGTTTTCATTCCTGAGACATCAAAAGATGTGGGGCTCTAGAAGACATGGATGTGGGGCTTCTAGGCTCTGGAAGACATGGTGGAGCCCACACAGAGGAGACACTGAGACAGGCTTTTGGCAAAACAGAGGATGTTTTTATGTTTTCCATATATGTACTTCTGACTACATATGGGTGCTCATTGCCAAAGGGAGACTCATGGGCTGTCCCCTCCTGACTTAGCAATGCCAGAGGTAGTCAACCTTCTGGGAACAACACACATATCTATCTAAAATTGGTCATGGCTCTATGATCATCACTTATTTTGAAAATTCACTGCCAAATGAAGTTACTTGAGAACTTTATTTAAATTTTTCTCCCAGTATAAGCAGGAGATAATTTTAAATCATTTTCAAAATTCAAAGAAGTCATTAAATTAAACATTGTTACCTTACCCACTGCTTCTTTTGTGATTGAATAAGAAAGCTTAATATTGAAAATGAAGGGCCAAAATATTAGAGGACTTTCTATTAAGTTTAATGTCTTCTGTGGTATTGTTACATAGCATTTTCATGAGACAGCTAAGTAGATCATGCACAATTGGCAGGTAAAACAAAATAGTAACAAGACATAGTGAAGGAAAGAGTCATGAAGATAAAGGGTGCCTAAGGCTGACATTTCTTGATGGCATTAATGAGGACAGTGTAGCTTCAGGTAGATCTTTTAAACCAAATTGGTAGATCTGGGCTATGTTGTATGTGTGTTGGCAGATGGGGTGCAGTCCCTACTCTCTCTCTATCTCTCTGTCTCTGTGTCTCTGTCTCTCTTTCTATCTCATCTTTTCCTTACTCCCACTGTTTATCCAAAATTTTCAGGGTTGTTGACAAATGAATATAATGGATATGAGAGGAAGCTTGTCCTGTGGTTCTGGGGGGCCCAAGGAAAGGATTAGCAATCCAGGCCTGACTTTTAGCATCTCTTCTGAGTAAGTGAAAGCCAACAGGAGTAAGGGCTGAGGCCACCCCCTCGCAATGGCTGTCAGTAGGGGTCAGGGCTTTGAAAGCTTAGGCCAAGGATTTCCTTTCAGTATGTCTCACGGACATGCATATATTCAAATTGTATGGACTGAGCATGCTGTTCCTTGGACAGCAGTATTTTTATTGCTTCACCATACTTAACCCTCTGCTTCCACCAAAGAGCCATTTAACTTTCCTTTTTTGCTTCAAAAATTATGAGTTTCATTTATTTTTTTTTAATTTTTTTTTCTCAACGTTTTTATTTATTTTTGGGACAGAGAGAGACAGAGCATGAACGGGGGAGGGGCAGAGAGAGAGGGAGACACAGAATCGGAAACAGGCTCCAGGCTCCGAGCCATCAGCCCAGAGCCTGACGCGGGGCTCGAACTCACGAACCGCGAGATCGTGACCTGGCTAAAGTCGGACGCTTAACCGACTGCGCCACCCAGGCGCCCCGAGTTTCATTTATTTTTAAAAAACAAGCACTCATTGATTGCTTCTGTGTGCATTGTACCAAACACTGAACTGTGGCAGTAGGAAGAATTTAAGACACGATCCTTGTCCAGTGAATGTCCTTACACATACAATCACATCAAGGTCTGTATAGTAGTTTAAGAGCTGTGGAAGAAGTAATTACAGTAGAGCTAGAGTTAGGGAAGTTAGAAAGACAAGTTTTCATGAGAACGAAACATTATACAGACTAAGTTTTCATGGACTCTGGTGCCTGATTTTTTTTTAAATGCGCCTTTCCTGATATTATTGCAAGTCTTAGGGACATAGGCATGGCTTAGTGTATGCTCTTGTGGTTGATATACATACTTATTTCTTCACCACTGTTGTTTTCTCTTCATTTCACAAGGACACCAAAACTAGTGAGAAAAGGCCAATGAGGAAATTCTTGGGGGAAAAATCCCACATCTAATATTTTCATTTCTAATGAGAAAACCCAAAGGGAAAAAAGGTACTCGATACACAGAAGATGCTGGCAAAATATTTTACTAGGATGTGGTTTTGATCAGGTTACCATTTCTTCTGGGATAGAATGTGTTTTGTTATACTTTTTAAATCATTTTTTGATCTCCCTTACACGTTCTCCATTATGGGCTCTTTCCTACTCATTGAAAAACTATGCAGAAATACATAGTACATGCTATTCTATATTCACATTAGACTAGCTTGGAGAATTTTAGGGAGAACACATGCAATTCTTCCACTAGGCTTAGCTGTGTTAAATCAGAGAAAGTATTTTTCCTTGTCCCCAAATGTGGGTCTAGAGGCTAGAGCCCTGACTGTTGGCATGTCACCAGCTTTCATGGCTTGCATAGTTCTTAGAAATGAAAGAAATACATTTTTGCAGTCACATGAGTCAAACATGAGACTTAGTTTTATTCCTTATTTGGGGACCACTTGACAGTTTTTTTCATTCTAGGTGATGTGGCTGGCTCAGATGCATTGCCAATACATTCATTTTATGAGTGAGCTCTCATCCTTACTTCTCTCCCAAAATATAAAATGAACATGACAAAATTATGTGACAGTTGCTATAGGCAACAATATTCTATTTATCTTTGCAATAGAAAGGCTCATCAAAGAATTTTGTCCAGGTATTTTTGTCACTTGGAGCAGTTATGTTGAATGTCCCTTAGCTTTGGTTTTGGTTTTGTAACGTAACACATAGCGAAGGTGTCAATACAGTGCCTATGTGGAGTCCAGATATCATTCTGCCATAATGACTATAACATGGTGTGAATGTTGAAACCAGAAAGTTCATTTTTGAAGTCTGAAAGCAGCTGAGAACAGATGAGGGTAACAGAGCAAAGCTTGCTTCCAGCCTTGGCTGTTTCTACTGCCAGAACATTCTTCTCCCATTACTTCATATGGACCAGATAGGAACTAAGGTGCTCTGCAGATATCCCCATGATTCCTGCTAATAAAAAGAGTAGGGGATCAGCTTACACAGTGCAACCATGGATCACCTGTTAAAAACTTGCTGGTGATGTTCAGCTCTCTAGATTATAGCAGCTTCCCAAACTTTACTGTGTCTGCAAATCCTTGGAGATTTAGTGTATCCAGGGTGGAGGGAGCCCAGATAGTCTACACGTTTAACAAGCTCCCGGGAGATGGTGATATTGCCGGTTTGTGGACCACACCTGGGTAACATGAAATAGGGCATGATGCTGAAGTGGCCTAGCTGTCAGGTCTAATGGCAATATCAGCAAGCTTATTTCTGATCTGTGGGATTGACTGCATTCTGAATCTTAGTTTACCTCCTTTTAAGTATTTGTTGTTGGTCAAGAGAAGGATCTGGTGTTGATAGAGGGTATAGAGGGCTAGAGGGTATATGGAAAGGTCTCAGAGTATGGGATAGCCTTCAGACTCCCATAATTCTGTAGGCCTTACTGGTTAGAGAGCTATTTGTATTAACAAACAGTCCCTTTCGTATGTTAGATCTTAGTTTAAATTAGTTTCATTAGCTGGTATACTCCTAACTGGGAGTTGGGTTACTAAGGGAAGCCTGAGATAAGAATAAGAGTTTGGGGATTTCTATAGGAAAAACAATCTTGTGTGTTTCCTTTACTGTCACGCTACTACCACATTTGACTTCTGACACTTCCAGTTACCAAATGTGTGTTTCCCCCTGACACCAGCAATTCTCTTAGACCAGCTGAGAGTCCTACAATTCAGCTCAATTCTGACATCATTTACCTGGAGATGGTGTCAGATCCCGCAGGTTCAGAGCTGGTCCCATAAGACTGACTACCCCCCCCCCCTTCAGGTGCTAATCCCAAGTCCCAAGTTATCACTTGTACTTCTGATTGACCAGCTATAAGTCACGGTTCCTTGATTTTTTTCTCTTTGCGTTTGATAATTTGTGAGAATGACTCACAGAACTCAGGGAAACACACTTACTGGTTTATTATAAAAGGTTATGATAAAGGACACAGATGAACAACCAGATGGAAGAGATGCTTAGGGCAAGGCACAGAGAAAGGATGAGGTTTTGTATCCTCAACAGGCAAACCACCATCCCAGTCCTCCATGTGTTCAGCAACGTGGAAGCTCTCTGAACCCAGTACTTTGGGGATTTTTATAAAGGCTTCATCATATAAATGATCAATCATGATCATTCATCATGGTCAATCTGCAAATTAATCTCTAGTCCCTTACCCTCTCCTGGAGGATGGGAAGTGGATGAAATTTCTAGGTTTCTAATAATAATGGCTTGGTCTTTCTGGTGACTAGTCCCTGACTTGAAGATATCCAGAAGCCCACCAAGAGTCACCTCATTAGCACAAAAGACATGCCCATCACCCAGCAAATTACAAGAGATTTAGGAGCTCTGGGTCAGGAACCAGGGCCCAAGACAAATAGACTAACGACAACAACACAATGCTCTTAGTGCTCTTGTCACTTAGGAAATTATAAAAATTTTAGGAGCTCTGTGCCAGTAACTAGGGATATAAACATTTTTCCTATTATTTCACAGAACTGGAAACAATGAAGAAAGTTGATTTTGGGGTATGTGGCATTTCAGAGAATGGTTGATCTGCAAGAGGCAATGGACAGTCCAGGAGACAATAGGAGTCTGTGCTGATTGGCCTGATGGAGACTGAGATGACATCACTAATGACCAACTCAAAATGCATATTTCATTGATCATGAACTAACTGTATCATCTTCTTTTATAAGAAACAATGTCATTAAAAAAAAGCACACTCTGATAAGACATTCTTCCCCTTTCTTTTCAGGTAGATTCCTCCTGGTTTGGCAGCCAAGAAAAGATTTATTTCAGTGTTTACACCTGCTGGAAAATTGGGAATTCCAGAAATCTCACAGTGTCCAGACCAGTTTTCTTTACAAATCTGGGATGCAGCACCCTCTTTTGAAAAACAGAGATCAGTTCTTAGACTTTGTACATTTATACTAGTTTTACTTCATTGGTACCAGGGTGACTTGAATTCTTGAAAAGGATGCAGTTTCCTAGAAACTTTTAGAAGAAAAGCATTAAAATAAAAGTTGACCATTGAATGGCTGGGATTTTCTGCATCAATGGATCTGGTGCACTTAATGGGCATTGAACTGTTCCAACTGAACCATATTCTTTCAATTCAAATAAGTTGATTTTTTAAACAGTAAATTGTGAGAATGAGAAATTTTGAAGGGGCAGTGGCAAAATTGTAGGTGAGATGTGCTTATTTATCATAACTTATTATGTTTAATCAAAATTACATTAGTACCCAACTTTCTTAGGATTAAAGACCAAGTAATATAATGAAATAAGAATTAGGAAATCAGGACCCTGATCACTATTTGAATTTCTACCATTTTATTACATCAGATATATCACAAACTTTATCTAATGTTTGGTGAATGTGGTCCATGATCCCTAGTAACTGTGTTTTAATAATAATGATTTAATAGTAACACTTACCATTTATTGAAGATAAACTATATGCTTAATTACAATCTTAACTCATTAATGACTTTCTAAATAGCCTTTCCCCTGTAAACTCATTATAATAATGGTCACTTGTTATACGCCATATGTCTAGTCCTTTATATTTACAAGGCATATTCTATATATTTTTTCATTAACCTATTCAGTTCTTTATTTAAAAAAATTTTTTTTTACATTTATTTATTTTTGAGAGACAGAACATGAGTGGGGGAGGGGCAGAGAGAAGGAGACACAGAATCCGAAGCAGGCTTCAGACTCCGAGCTCTCAGCACAGAGCCCGACGTGGGGCTTGAACTCACAAACTGTGAGATCATTACCTGGCTGAAGTCAGACGCTCAACTGACTGAGCCACCCAGGTGCCCCAGTTCTTTATTAATTCTAATTTCTTGAAACAAGATTTTGCTGGGATGTCATGGAGTATTGTGACTGTGAATGAAATCTTCCTTATTTTTGGGGTAGAGAGAATGTGAAGAGAGCATTGTCTTTCTTTTCTGTCAAATTCCAACTGTAAAGAGTGAGACAGAAGTGTCAGTGTGGGGCTACTGGCCTGAAGATTCTCATCAACAGCATTGGCTGTACAAACCTGGTGCTACAGTTTCCGTGAACATTTTTCCCATTTCTATTTTGCTTATAGACTTAAGTCTTTCCCTTCCACATTGTACTTTGTCCTTTCATTTTGTCTTTTTAAATTTGATTAAGTCATGTTGGTTTAGACATTCTGGTGGTTTACTTACTCTTAACAGTGACTTTGGCCAGCCTTTAAAAACTCTTCTAATGCTGAAGACAAATGCAGTTACAACTGAGATGATTAATGGTAGAATGTTTCACTTAAGTAGCCCTGGTAGATATCTGTTATTGAGAATTTAATAAAATTATCTGTAATCATGTTGGCAAAGTTGTTTCCTAGGGCCATCTGCTTAGTCATTAAAATTATTTTTAAAGATATATCAAACCAGATGGTTTTCAAGGAGGATTTGACTTGTCCTATTTTTTTCAACTCTAAGGTGTATTTTTTATTACCTGTGTACCCCATCATCCTAGGATAGGATCCCTCAGAATAAAGGTATCTCCTTTACTAAACCATTCTGCCGATTTTTCTATTTGTAACAAGAAAATATAACCATTTTTATTAGAATATTAAATGAGTAATCAATTTATACTGCCTGCATAGACAATGTTTAGGTATGGGCAGGAATCAAAGAAGAGAAATGCTCCTGCGTTCATGGTGATTAATATCATTCATGATGTTATATTTTCTTAAACTTTATTTTCTCCGATACAAAACAAGGTGGATACTATTATGGTGATGTGAAGAGGAAAGTAACAACATTGGTATTCCCCCCCGCCCCTTGGCCCATTGGAGGTTTCCAGAGAGCCACAAAGGCAAGGAAGACAACTCAAGATGCACACAAGGGTGTTCTTATTATTTCTTTAACAGGCCAACTTGAACAGGGCACTGGGTAAGCATGTACCAGCATTCCTGGTCCATAGTTTCTTTAATGCCAACCACTTATTACAGTAGACAAGGCAATTTGGATAGGCAGCTGCATGATATATTGCCATGCTGACTCAGTCAGGGACTGCAGGAAAAACAAGAGTTCTGAGGTGTCCCAGAAGTTCTCAGACATGCATGGATTTTGATGGCTTAATTTACATATTTGTGCATAACCATAAAACATTCCTTCCTTTGTTCTTACTCAAGATTCCACCCAAATTCCTGTCTGTTACCTCCCTTGGGGCTATCTTAGGGAGTGGCCTTTCCAGGAACCTCTGTGGGATCACACTGTGGGATCTTTTCATTATCGTGTGAGTATAAAATGGGAAGCCAAGTGGTCCCTTTACACCTGTGATGACATTTGGTCTTCAGTTCAACTCTGTGCTTCTCACTGCCCTTGTACCTTTGATTCTCGTTTTTTAGAGAAGTGCATCTTTCTTAGAAGAGTTTTTAGTTTTATTTTTTGTTTCTTTTTAAAATTTTTGTTTAATGTTTATTTATTTTTGAGACAGAGAGAGACAGAGCATGAATGGGGGAGGGGCAGAGAGAGAGAGAGACACAGAATCGGAAGCAGGCTCCAGGCTCTGAGCCATCAGCCCAGAGCCCGACGCGGGGCTCGAACCCACAAACTGTGAGATCGTGACCTAAGCTGAAGTCGGACGCTCAACCGACTGAGCCACCCAAGCGCCCCTATTTTTTGTTTCTAAAGTATTATGACATCTACTTTTTTTTTTTTTTTAATTTTTTTTTTCAACATTTATTTATTTTTGGGACAGAGAGAGACAGAGCATGAACGGGGGAGGGGCAGAGAGAGAGGGAGACACAGAATTGGAAACAGGCTCCAGGCTCTGAGCCATCAGCCCAGAGCCCGACGCGGGGCTC